TTTTTATTTATTCATTTTTATTTTTTATTTTTGGCTGCTCTCTTCCTCTTGGGCTCACTACAGCATCAAATTCACAGAAAGATTTGGCGATTGTTTTTACACCGAATGCCTTTTCTGGTGCAAACACAGACACCGAGCTACCACAGCCTCTGTGTGGAACAGAGGGCTGCTATCTAGTGCTAGTGTGCCCAGAGGAGCAGATGTGGGGGTTGAGGGCCTTGCTCAAGGGCCCAGAGTGGAGTAAACGGGGGTGGAGGCAGGTGGAGGTGTTTCACCTATCCCACCGACATTTTGATGTTGTCGGTCCAGGGAGTTGAACCGGCGACATTCCGATCACAGGTCCACCTTCTCTAATCTCTGCGCCACCACTCCACATTTTCTATGAAAAAAGAAAGTGATGTTGGTTCATATTTAATTTATTGTTGTTTTTGTGGACGTCCATCCATCCATCCATCCATCATCTTTACCCGCTTTTTCCCTTTTGGGTCATGGGGATCACTGCAGCCAATGTGCGAGAGGCGGGGGACACCTGCACAGGCCAGTCCATCACAGGGTTTTTGTGGATGAGTGTCAACAACATTTTTGCATTTTCCTCCCTCCTGCGGGTCGAGGTTGTGTTTCATGAAAAACAGTCCTGTCTAATAAATCAGAGAAACGGACACCTCGCACCCCCAGCCAGCAGGTGCACAGCTTTATGAAATTAATTTATAATTTGATTTGAAGTAATCATTTTTGAAGTAATACTTCAGATTAACTCTGTCAAATGGGAGAACATATGTTCAGTGAAGTAGCTTTAAAATAATGAAGTGAAAAATGATCATATAATATAACATCACTGAATCAAACGGAAGAGTCAAGAGTAGATCAAACCCATAAACACTGTTACAACCATCAACCTACCACACACACACACACACACACACACACACCATCACACACACACACACACACACACACCATCACACACACACACACACACACACACACAAAGCCGTAGGATTGTTTAAATAAGGTTGGCGGAAACTTCCTGTTCTTTGACTTTCCTCTGTTCTCAGTTTTCTGTTCTGCCACCACCACTCCGACACACACACCCTCCCCCCGTCTGCTTCAAATGGATTAAAAATAAGAATATCTACACTGTTGGTCTCAGCAGGTTTCGATGCAGATGTTCCTGGGTTTGAGCGCAC